CCCTTTCCTTCCTCCCTCCGCCAAAGCAATGCAATGAGAGCACCTCCTTACTGAGCATTTGCTATGTTTCAGACACTGGTCTGCACATCTTTCATATAACATTTAATCTTCACAACAACCCCATTAGGTGGAACTTCTGTTATAATCATTTTACAAGGAAGGAACAGAGGCCCAAGAAACTTGCCTAGGGCCATTCAAGTAGTAAACATGGAGCCAGGCTTTGATCCCCACAGTCTAACTGCAGAGAGTATGCCCTATACTATGGGAGAGCAACTGTTACTCTTTCAAAATAATGCACACACCATTAGAGCAACATCTTGTTCATTTGCCAGTCTCTACACAACTAAATCAAAATGCAGATAACATAAACTGGTTACTGGTGAGTCCATGTTTCGTATCAGTTGCAGGTCACACACCCTATGCGCTTAGCTGTCTGCTGCAGTCAGTCTCAAGTAAAATGATAAAGGAAGACTGTCCCTCAAAAGATGTTAAACCTCTAAAAAGATTAAAGTGCTTTAGCTAAAACACCACACTTTCACACTAAAATGTGAAACTCTTAAGGTCTATAAAAATCAAAGTGTCATGAAAGTAGCAATTTCTCTGAAGGATATTTATAAGCAGTGTCGTAATGTGCTCTCTGGCATTTTATAGATAATACTGTTCAGTGAGGAAGTCTGTGAACAAATAGGACCACAGACAAATGAGTGTGGCCTACCTAATCCAAATGCTACTTGTTCTTCAATATCTATTTCAAACTTCCAGTTATCTAGAAATCATTGTTTAGCGAATCTAGTCAACTATGATTTCTAACTTTCCAGAATGTTTCACACTCCCATGGTCTCAACCATCTTGAGATGTATTAAAAAACAGTACAATGTAGTAAAGAATGTGGTACTTTATTATATACCATGCTTGATTATAAATTATAGCGTTTTCTAATTATTTCATGCACAAGCATTTTAACTCTTCAGCCAGTTTTGTAAGTTATTAAGGCCAGGTACCATGACAGATCTGTTTATACTCTCTTCAGAGAATCCAGCATAGAGCCTCCTCAACTAGGGAAAGAACAAGCAGCCAATAGGCAAAATCTTGTGCTCTAGAAGTTAGTGTTAAAATCCCGAAGTCAAATATTCAATCATTTAATACTATTCCATCTAGTAGGCACTATTCTAGGTGTGCTGCGAATATAATGGAGAACATGATAATTCACTTCCTCGAGGACTTATTTAAAAATAACTGCAGTGAGTGCGTGCTGCAAGAGAAATGACTGAAGTGCTGCAGNGGTGAGTGTTGGGAGCATTATAGAAATGAAAAATAGCACTATAGCCCAGCCGGTGTAGCACAGCAGTTGAGCACTGATCTAGGATCCAGGAGACCGCAGTTCGATTCCCAGTCAGGGCACATGCCCGGGTTTCGGGTTCGATCCCCAGCAGGGGGCATGCAGGAGGCAGCCAATCAATGAATGACTCATCGTTGATGTTTCTATCTCTCTCTCCCTCTCCCTTCCTCTCTCTGAAATCAATAAAGATATTTTTAAAAAACAAAACAAAATACAGCACTATAGAAGCAATGTGTCAAGGAAATGGTGAGGAGGTCAATGTGGCTGCAGAGCAGGGACAAGGGTCGATGAAAGGGTAGGAGACGACGTTAGGGGGCTAGGAGCAAGGGGTTCTTACTGCTACCCTAAGGGAGCTTAAACTTAATCAGCTATCCTGTAGGGGCTTTTAAACACAAAGATGAAATTAAACTTATGGTTTGAGGGAAGAGCATTCTACAGGCAATGTGAAAAGACTGAAGTGAAGAGAGAAAGTTGGAGTGATGAGTTTGGAAGCAGCTGTCAACAGGGCAGGTAAACGGTGTAAGAGTGAAAGCAGCATTAGAGTAGGAGAGAAGGGAAACAGAGTTGAACCTGAGTGCTGACAACACAGACTGGTTCAAGGGCTCATTCAAATACTTACTGAGTCCCACTAGATGTGCTGGGCTGTTAGGTGTTGGAAGTAGAGTGATAAAACAGATGATTTCTGCCCTTAGGGAGCTTATATTCTAGTGGTTGAGAACCAGTCAATTAATCGTTAACAAGTAAACAAAAAATACATATCATGATAAGTGCTATTATGGGGAAAAAGGGTGCTATGGAAGATAATAGAAAGGAGGTGGGGTGGCATGTTGAGGGGGCATTCTTGAAGCTGAGATTTATAAAATGAGAAGGGGTTACACAAGGGAAGTGCCTTTACTGGAAGGAGGCACAAGTCTCAAGTCCATGAAGTTGGAAAAACCTTGGAATGTTTATGAAAGCCAAAGAAAAAGAAAGGCAATGTGGTGAGAGTTTGGAGAAGGAAGGGAATGGAGAGCGGTATGAACTGAGGTCAGGGAGCTAGAAGGGCCTGGATCAGGCAAGGTGTCATAGGCTATGGGAAGGACTTTAGATGTATCCTCAGCAAAACAGGAATTCATAAATTATGAATAACTTTATGTATGAATAGATTTCCCTTTCTGCTAGACTGAGGGTGAGTCCTACCTATTGTCACATCTTTAGCATCTAGTATGATAAATGCTTAATAACTGTTAAACTCTGTACACCCTAATTTATGGTCATAATTTGGCTAATTTTGGGCTTACAAAAGCAAAAATAAAAGGAGAAAAGAGAAACTTGCTGGAGGTAACTCAGATTTGGAAGAGAGAGAAAAAACTGGAAGGTGATAAGAAACTATGCACTTCTGTTCACTCCTTTCTTTCGCATTCAGGAGTGGGTACTGTGTTGGAAACTCATGGGTGAGGAGGGGTGCTCTTCAAAGGGAAAAGAACTGAGGTCCAGAAAATCAAAGGATGAAACAAAGTGCTCTGCAAATGTCAAGAAAACATGGTTTGAGCATTATGCACAATGGCCACCACCAATTGGCATGCGGGCCCAAACTGGGTAGATGACAACTAAAAACATAGTTTTGGGGGTAGATGGAAGAGAGAAGCAGCCTAAAGCTGGCCACTCCCATAAGGTGTGTCTGCAAGCTGGTTGTCCCTCATTTGGGGAAAGTTTATACTTTAAGACCTTTTTTAGTATATTCTCTGAGAAGTTTTATACAATGTTAGTCTAGAAAACGCTGCCAAGACCATATACGAATTTGAAAAGAAGACTTGATGTTTCACTGTCAACAGACAAACAAGAATTAGCCACAGGAACAGCACCCTTAAATCTGCAGAATGTTAAGTGTTCATAATCTTCCTCGAATCACTACAATGAGTTTGCTCAAGTAAGCAACAGCCATTTGTACAATTGTATGTCTTTTGGGGATGCTTAATATTTTGGATAAAGAAACATTCAGAGGTAACCAAAGTTTAGAATATAATAATACCCACACTAGAAAAGACTGAAAAATTGGAACATACAAATTTGGAAAAACATAACCTGTTCCCACTTTCAAATTCAGACCACTTTTGAAAATTCACAAATACTGTATATGATTCAAAAATAAAATGTTATAACGGGGATTATAAACATTGTAATGAGAAAGGGAATAGCTAAGCATTCCATTGTGTAATGAACAATGATTTAAATACTGCTGTGCTGGTTCCATTTTGGGTTTTCGCAAAACCTCTTACCCGGAGCCCATGGAATCGAGGATTACTGTAGAAGAGCTTCATCTGCTCAGATGGAAGTGGTCCTAGCACCTTCTGAATAGTAAAAAGTTGGTCAATTTCACTTTCTCCGGGAAATAAAGGCTGTCCATCACTAAGCTCCCCAAGAATACAGCCCACTGACCACATATCTACAGATTTTCCATAGGGAGCTCTGAAAAGCAAAGGGAGACATTATCTTGGCAACTGAAGACATACATTTTAATAATTTTCAAATTATTCTGAACAAATTCATGATTTAAAACACGTATATGTACTTGAAGAATTAAAAAGTGTTATGTGGAAAAAGGGAAGGCTAAGAAAAGGAATTATGGATATCCAAGTAAAAATTCAGAACACAAGTGAATAAATCTATGCTAATAAAACCATCAGTTTAATAACAATTTAGAAAGTATACATTAAGTTGAAATCTATTCACATCTGGGTGTATTTGGAACATGAATGGCTTAATAAACCTTAATACAGTGCACACGTCTGATAATACCTCACTTGGGGAATGAAATGTTCCCAAGAAATTTATGTTCTATTTTCAACCTTTTTCATCTCATGGAACACATAAACTAATCACTAAATATATGACAAAACAATAGGTATAATTTTGATTGATTTACAAAAAATAATAATTACCTGCCCTCTTTGCTCCAAAGTGACTTTCATTAAGATGCAACTCTATTACACGACCTATATATTTATGGTTCAAGAGCATTCATACCACACAGCTATTGTTGTGTTGGCTGTTGTCATTTTTTTATTTGACAATCTAAGGGAAAAGAGGCTAGTGCCCCTGAATAAATAGTCAGGTACTGCGTGTTTTAAAAATTCTTGCAGCACACCCGTGTGCCATGGTACACCGGGTGAAAATCGCTGTTCTAGGTAATTATCCTTTAGCTCTCTAAATGTCAAAAAGTTACATCCTATCCATTTTTTGAGTTCAGTCTATTAAAATGTACTACTGAATTATGTGTCTTCTTTTTTTTACTATAACTGATTTTATTTTTTAAAATTTATTTTTATTGTTGACACTATTACAGATGTCCCCTATTCCCCCCTTTGCCCACCTCTTCCCAGCCCCTTTCCCCCTTCTTAAACAACAAGCACTGAATATTATTTAACCTCTGACTACATGGTCATAATTTCTAATAGCAAAGATTGTGCTAAGTTCTATTGTATTATTTACTTGAATCTATTTTTATTCTATAATGGGGCCTTATGATAGCTATTACCCTTAAAGCATTTTCCATTACTTAGGGGTTTAGCTCTCTTCTAGGATATGAGTTTACCAAAGGGCTTTAGGAGTGTTACTGTTATTAATAGAGGATATACACAAAAATCTAGGCATCACCAAAACAGCATTATATGTATACCCCAATATCGAATGCCTTAAGTCAAATTATATATGGCAGATTAAGTAAGAAATCATATTTTCCTTAGTTTCAAACATAAATAATCTACGCTTTAAGAAGGGAAAGCCAAAATACAGTATCTCAAAAAAATGGAATAAAATTCTAGAATACCATAATGATATAGTAGTAATACAAAACTTTTAACAAATACTCTACATTAAAGCACTGTTAACACTGTACAGAATACGTTTCTAGGACAATAAATCACTGAACAATAAGTCAATATTTTATTTATCTCATTTCCTTCCCACAAAAACCTAAGAACCATCCTAGAAAACTTCATGTAGATTTTTTTTAGTAGCTTGTTCGAGAAGGAAAGATACTGATTTTTCTGTAATACCTATGACAGAGTAAATTGTGCTAGGTGGAGAAACCTATGAAAAATCTCCACATACCCAGAAAGATTCCACATAACCACTACATATTATTTTTCTTCTGTCAACTGATTTGAATAAATTATACAGCTGAAACTATTTTGAATGTCAAAGACAAAGTCTTATGAATATACAAAAATGCAAATTCTTAATCTTAACCAAATATCAACTGATATCAATGGAATTTTTACACAAATAATATGGTTCTTCTACTACTACTTACAATTATTAATTAGTGATATTCAAGTTGGATCAAATAAGTTGGAGTCCCTATCTACTTTTGGTAGCTTCCACATATAACCACAGTTTTCTGATAGGTATTATTAGGAGGCAAATACTCCCTGAAGTTTTGCAACAAGGCTGTCCTCAGAATTATCTTGTTGGGGCCATCTTATAGACAAAAGCATATTATAAGGAGTCTCTCTACCATATTTGAATCCTCAGGTGGGGTTCTATGAATGATCTAATTTATACTCATTTCTTCTCTGGCAAACACTGTCCAGTAAATTCAAATTACAATCTGTCCCAAAAGAAAATGGACTATGCATCCCAGTGCATCCAGAGGTACACAGAAGAAACAGATGAAAACAACCTCTGTGGGCATCCACATTCTTAATGTAAAAGATTATTAATGAAGATGGTGGCAATAATTCCCCCCATTTCCGTACATCTCCCACTTTGTAATGTGACCCTGCCACTCCTCGCATCAACAGCTGGAATTTATTTCTTGATCCCTTGAATCAGGTCTTGACCATGCAATGTGCTTTGGCCAATGAGGCAAAAACCATGCAAACAGAGGCTTGAAAACGACTTTTGGTTTGGGGCTTGCCCTAATGCTGCAGGAAGTTCTGTTATCACACAAAGAAACTTGAACTACACTAATGGAGGATGAGTCCCCATGGGACAGAGATGGTCTGTCTCAGCTGAGGCCCCATAAACCAACCAGCCTCCAGATCACCCACAAACTGTCTGTAGCTATATCAGGAACTCCCCACTGAGATCAGCAGAAGAACCATCCAGCTGAACTCAAATTGCTGAATCCCCCAAATCAGTGCCACTCAGAATGGTGAACAAATAAAATGGTGTTGTGTTTTATGCCATTAAGTTTTGGGGTGGTTTGTTACACTGGAATAGGCAACTGGTATTTAATTAACTGACGTTATTTTCCATAGATGATCCCAGAGCTAATGATATAGGATCAGAAGATATGCAGATGTCATTCAATTTGGGAAGGTAACTCACCCAAGTAAGAGTTCTGGGGACCGATACCACCTGGTGGCCACATACTCTGTATAATTAGCATTATTGCCTTCTGATAGATTCCGAGCAAAACCTGAAAGATAGCAAAGCCCAAAGGTGTAACTGAAAAATAAATAATAATTTCATGTTGGCAAAATATGTCAGTGCTAGCAATATTTTATAGGAACATCAAAAGAACATAATGACTGGTATTAATGGGCTGTTTATTAATAGCGTCCTTGTTACTTTAAAAGGTTAGTCCACTGTTCATATGTCAATTAAAAATATATATTCACTAAAAAAACTAGTCTCTCCCTCTGATAAAAAAATCCAAATTTTCAAAATCATCCCATGTTTTAATAAGCATTCACAGTATATTTTTAAAATAGTTCTCCCAATAAATACAAAACTTAAGAACAAAATTAAGTCTCACAAAAGCCAGAAGTCAAAGCTAAACTAGCATATCACAGATAGTCATTATATTTTGCAATGTGGAACATTCGTGGTATTTGTATAACTACTGTTGCTGATCAGTTCCAGCCATCATATAAACAAGTAATGGTTGGCGATGGAAACAAAGCAGGCCAAAATTATTTTCATCTCCAAATGTGACTGAGAAGCATATTAGAGGTATCTTAATTACCTTGTAGACTCTATTACTATTTCCCCCCAAAACCCTTTCAAGAGGTTTTAGGGTCACAAAATAAACCAGCAGGTAAGTTAATTATACATCTAACTCACCAAAAGCAATATGGATTCATTGTGACTAGCTATAGAGAACCAGAACATTAAAATTAGGGGTAAAAATTAAGGTGTATATCAGTTTTGCAAAATAGTATTTCTTAAAATGCAACAGTAAAAAATAAAAACCACCACCACCACCAAAACAAAAATACCCCTAACTTCAGTTAATCAATACTTCTTTGTAAGATACAGTTTGAAGAAATATTCGCATTTTTGAATGGGGTTGTTCCAGCTAAACAAAGGAGCTACATGCTCTGGGAGGGAAGGCAATTAGGAAGTCCTCACAGGGGATGCCCAGAGCACAGTGGTGCTGCCGTGCAGAACTTCTGGACCATTTCAAATGGTCTTTTTTTTAAATGATGCTAGACCAGGGATACTCTTTTCCTATTACTAACCATTCTACAGGCATCTTTTATAACTTGCTTAACAAATTTCAGTAACTCTGGAGTTTAAGCAGGTCACCAACTCCATAGTTCGTGGACGCACAGTAAAGGGTCTATGAGGTGCACAAAGTCTCAGTACTCGGTGGTTACCACAATTATGGATAGGAAGTCAAAAAGATATTATTTCTGAAAATCATAATGCTAAGGAAATGCTAAAAATGCCATGATCAAAATCTTTTCAACATAGTGTTCAGTATTTTCTTTCTATTCTGCTAAGCACTTCTTAAAATGTTTAGGATACAGCAGGGCTCTTTTCTCCAATATTCCTTATCATAAAGCATGAAGAAAATTAAGTTCTTCAAGCAAGCAGGTTCAAAATATTCAAATTATTTGAAAACATGGGGTAAAAACAGCTACACATGCTCCCATTGCTACACTGGACAAAATCGGTCATTCTGAAGTGAATTCTTGGAATGTTTCCATGTCTCGCTTGAGTGCTCCATCTCCTAAGTACTGATCTAACTTTTGTTTACAAAAAGAAGTGTCTTCTCATTTATATGGAGGTTTACATTGTATGTGATTATATTTGAATATCTGAAAAAATAACATTTAAAAAAAGTCAAGTTATTTTTCAACATATGGATTAGACAAAAGCACAATTTACAAAAGTGACTCATGACTTAACCTATATTTTTAAAACTTTTCTGAGTTATTTTAATTTAAATCTTTAATAGTATTTAATACAGAGTTTTATACATGGGAAACAATACAGAATTTTTTGCTAGAAAACTTGAAAACTTCCTTATACACTCAACCAGGAGCTGGAGTATTACAAATCAATTACTAATCTCATTCACTGAACATTTAAAGAGAATAGAATTGTTCTTAACTGTCTTTTGAACTTACAGATATAAAACTTTCATATTTACACCATACACAAGTGTGTATTTACATAGGCATATTTTCAGTGTTTATGAGTATGCCTAAAACAATTTCTATCAGCACTGAAAAGACTTTTAAAAATTTTTTTATCCTACTCAAACCAGAAGGCTACAGTGGTATTTCCTAGAAAACTCCTTCTGGGGTCACTAAGTGTTGGACTTATGAATATATGCACATGCATGTATTTGTTTTGAATTTTCATTAAATAACTACCGCATGATTAATTTTTAAAAAGAGTAGACAATACTATGTAGAGCAAAGAGAGTACAGTACTCTTCCTGAAATAAAATTTTCAACATATGACCCAATGGAATGTTCCTTTGCTACTTTAAGTCAAAACATAAAAAATACTTTTAATATGCCTGTAATAACTACCTAGGTGTTATATTAACTTAATTCTGTACAGTAGAACGCCCACATTCCAAGACACACACCCCCAGGGGATGCCTGAAACCACAGATAATTCCAAACCCTATATGTGCTGTTTCTTCCTCGACATACATACTTTTCACTTAAAAGCTTTTTACAGCTTCTCTTGTGCATTGGGGCCATTATTAAGTAAAATAAGGGTTACTTGAACACAAGCACAGGTGCACTGAGATAGTCGATCTGATAACTGAGACAGACACTGTGATTCACATCCCAGGAGAGATAGAGCAGGAAAGCGTGAGATTTCATCACACTACTAAGAACGACACACAATTTAAAACTTATGCATTCGTTATTTCTGGAATTTTCCATTTAATATTTTCAGGCCTCAGCTGACCCTGGGTAACTGAAACCACAGGAAGTGAAAATGCAGATAAGGGAGAACTACTATACTTCAAGGACTCAATTTCTTTTCAACTTACCGAAGTCACACAGCTTCAAAACATCATTGTGGCTGATTAAGAGATTTTCTGGCTTTATATCTGGAGCATTAAGATTAAAAAACAATTATTTAAAAATGTCCCATGTACTGCTGATTGACACCATTAGATCACTATAACAGCAGCTAACTAGAAATATCCAGTGATTTGAATAGAAACCTACGGCAGTGAAAACAGAGTAACACATTTTATGTTGGTACATAAAAGTTTTCATTAACTTCTCTTCTTGAGGAGCATGCAGACCACAATTTCAAAAATATTTCCCCCCTCAAATCTTAAAGGCATTAAATTGCATTTCTGAAAGGAATTTAAGAATGATTGAATCTAGGCCACCACATTTTAAGGAACTATTTTTGCTTTATAAAATACTAATAATACAAATTTTCAGAGACAGAATATAAAATGCTTACACCCACAAGATACCTGAAAAACCCACATGAGAGCAAGTACCTAGTATTATATTTACTAGAGGAAAAATACATATAAGATACATTTTCTGTTATGATTTTCTATGTAATTTCTATATTTACATATCTCTTTAGCTTTTCTATGTGGTTCACAGTTATAAATCTCTAGTGCTGAGGCTATATTGAATGAGTCAAGTTAAGATTTCTCATTTTTTCCATGGATCTTTTGAAAATGTGGTGGGAGTTGAGGAGTAGAAATAAGTAACATAGAAAATGCAGTTTAATTCCTCCCTTGGGAGGCATCTCACAATTGCATTTTTAGAGTACACATCATCTATATCACATGGTAGAGATGAAAATGGAGAAAGGGAAGGGGTAGAAATGAAATCTGTAGATTTCAGAATCATGGTTTCTATTGCTAATTCCCAACCATTGATTCACTATACATTTAACCAAATCACTGTATCACTATGGAAATGAAGCTAAATCAGTTCCTTATTAATACCCTCAAACTATATAGTATAGACTGTTATTTTACCCTACACACTAGATTTCCAGCTGACTTGGAAATCTATCCATGCCACCCTTGACAAGTAACTGCTATGAAAGTCAAATGCAAGAGAATTATCAACTGTCTCTAAAAATAATAGGCGTTGGCATTCTTCATAAGGTATTCTTAAAGTGAGACAATCTTTAAAGTGATATCCTTGTGTGTCTATATAAGTCAATTAAAACTTAGCATTCACTTATTTGATAATTCAAAGACAAGAAGTGGATATAGCACACATCTTTTAGCTTCACTGTTATATCAACTTGTGTCCCATTATTATAAAACTCTGGAATGCAAGTGAAATTATCAGAAGATGAATGGTGTGGAGTTAAAGACGGTGCTGAGAAAGTAATTTCCCTTTTCATGGCAATAAAGGACAAAACAGGTTATGGAAGTATAATCATGGCCTTTATGTGAGGTTAATCATGCGTGCAACTTGCAACAATGGGCACTTTTCAGTAACAGGTAGAGGAAATTAGGAGGTGAAGGTACAGACTGGAGATCTTGGTCTCCAGGGGAGTGAGCAACGACTAGGGGGGTGGGGGGGTCAGTGACTTAGGGATTATCTCTAAAGCCTGATTGGGGTTTAACATTACCTGGTCTACCTGAAGGACCAAAGGCAATGGAGAGCCCCCCTCCCAGTAAGCTCCGAAGTTCACTTCTGTTGAGTTCTTTATAACACTGCGTGTTTCTACAGTTGAGAGTTAATAGTTATACAAACACAAACATCTCACCATACTATCCAAGCAAATTTGCTGTGCATCCTTTTTGTGATACAAAAGGAGACTTGGAAGGCAAACAAAATACTTTCAAAATGTATTCAATTTAAATGCAATGTCAGTGTCTATGGAAATATTATTATGATAGTAATATGTGAAATATTTTATTGTTAACTTTATTTGATGTTTTCTTTAATATGTTCTATTTCAAAAATTCCATACTTACCCCTATGAACAATATCATTCTTATGGCACCAGTGAATAGCTTTGATTAGCTGATAGATATAACTTTTTACTTTTTCGGGTGGAACTCCATTTGGCATTTCTTCCAGCAATTCAAGCATATTCTAAAAATCAAATAGGGAGCCATTAATCTCCAAAATTAGGTAGGCCCATAAATCATATATTAACAGTTTTAAAAAGCACCTTGGATGATAACTCATCCAATACACAGCTTGCATTTAAAAATTTTTCTGCTTTTCATCTATAACCTTTTTCATGAAGCAGGATATTATATTAAATCAAGGTTCTTTTTAAAGAGAATTTCCTACTCCCCAGTATTGTCCCAAATAATAACCCTGTGCACTTTTCACTCTCCCTAAAACCTTTCGGGCATCATTTTACCAGTTTTCAAAGGAAACAATACAAAGTAGAGATAAGACAATCTAACGTATAAA